AAAAAAAAAAAAAAAAAAAAAAAAAAAATATATATATATATATATAAACTGGACAAGATCTCACTGTTGGTTGGTGTCACAGTTTTGCTTTCCACTGGGAAACACAAACTGGAATCCACAAGCAGTTTCCCATCTGTAGAGAATCAAGTGTTTCTTGTCTGTTACCCAGGAGTGGGATGTTTGCTCAGACCTGTGGGTAGGAGTGGACAGCACCTACTGGAAATTGAATAACTCGGGGTTTAATTAGCTGTATGACAGGAGCTGGGCACCTAACCTCCTTTTCTTTTTTCTTTTTTTCGTGTATTCACTGGCCCGATAAAAGAGATTAGAAGATTTTGCGTAAGGCTAACGCTGTTATGTAAATGTCCTGTTCACTGCCCAGTCTAGAGAAAAGTGGAAAGCACCTTCTACAACTATGTTTAAAACAGCTATATTTAGAACTGGGTAGGGTTTTGTTCAGATGAAAAGCTGGTGGAGATTCAGAGGTGGCTGGCAAGAAGCCTTGTTATGTGGGAGAAATGAAAAGCTAAAGGATCCTTTTTGTTCCTATTCCTTACAGAGGGATGAGCTGAATAGCACAAAGCCAGCATGGACTGAGAGCCCAGGAGGAGTGCTCTGTTATGGCAGCTGACATTACTCCAGACAGACCACATGTGAGTTCCATGGTAGCAAACAAGGGAGAGGAGAAAGTGTGGATATAGTCCACCAACATAGTAGGAAGCTGTCACAGAACAGGAAGGTTGGCCACAAAGACCCTCACGGCCAAGAGACCCACAGATGATAAAATAAAAATGACCAGTAAGCCCATGTAACAAAATCTAACCTTCTAGTGATTAAAAAGTACAAATTAAACAACAAATTTAAGTGCTAGATATATGCATGATTCTCTCTGAAAATGCCAAGTGTATGCCATTATGCCTTAGTGCAGGTAGAGCTGGCACTTGGAGTTGCTGGTCCACCATGGGGTGTGTTTGCTCTGATGCACTCACACTTTCCATCTCCTGAAGCCAGATGTTCACCTCTGAGAGTCCAAGTGTCCACTTCTAGGATTCAGTCTGTGTTGCAGCCCCATGGAGAACATCAACATC